ATGTGTGTGTGGTTATATTTTTTTCTATTGACTATTATCAAAATTACTACTTCTAGAAACAACAGAAATAATAATAGAATAGTAATTCTAAAACAATTAGGTTTCTAAAAGTAAGAATAAACTACGAATTCAAGTAAAATTCAGTCATCTTATAAAAAGTGAGCCTACTTTTAAAATCACTTGCTGTGACAACTAATAAAGTTTAATATCATGAAATTCTTGCAAAACTTAAAGAAAAAAACATTATTGAAAGAAAAATTGGACGTTTCATATCATAATAAAATTAATTATTACACGATTATGGTCTCCGGTCTAAAAAAAACTGTATGTGATTTGGCATTTCTTTATATTTACACAGTTTACCATTAATGTACTGACACAAAAATATATAGTGTATTTTATACAAATATAACTGATGTAAATGACAAAAACTAAGTTTAAGGCTGACGTCTCTATTCATTTTCACAGAAGCAAAGCAGCAAATGTTATAAATAAAAACAGTTAACAATGTTATTGAATAGAATATATTAAAACCGTTATTGCACGACATAGGCCTATTCTTATAGGCTACACAGACAAAACACTCAGAGATGCGTTTATGCATTTTTTTTCTATTTTACGCATTAGTAGTAAATCAAGACTTCGCAAGTTCTCGTAAAATAAAATAATAAAAAACAACAACAACATGGAATAAACTGTGTACAGAAAGCGAGTAAAGAACTCTCAACATTAGGCTACTAAAAAGGTCAGTTTAATCTTGCAAAAACTCCCGATAATAAAAAATCTGACTACACTGCACAATTAATCTCTTACACTGCATCTTTGTTGTTTATGATGAATTCGGTGCATGCACGTATACCACATTTATTATTATTGCAGCTTAGATGTTCAGATAGCTGCAGTACTCCGACTTTGCCACAAGGAAAAGTGCGTAAGCGTATTTTTTTATAAATATGAATGTTGCCGTTGATTTTAGCATACGCACACTCTAAGATCAAATTTGTGCGTATGCACATTTTATAAATGAGGCCCCTGATGTAACATTATAAGTGTCTTTACTGTCACTTTTGATCAATTTAACGCGTCATACCTGAAAAAAAATTCTTACTGACCGCAAACTATTCAGTAGGATGACATTTAATTATTTTTGCAGCTAGATTGCCCAGCTCTGGTCTTGACATTGATTTTTTTATTATTATTAAGCTATAGTGCCCAATGCCCATTTATATTTCATGTGGTGTTGAACCGTTATAACTCACCACGCATGCGGCCTGAACAGCCTCTGACACACTGCCAGCATTGGGATCACACCAAAACACATGACACTCAAAGTGCTGGTTCCCAGAGTCCATGATGAATGCGAATGAATGCACATTTTTCCCAACTCCCATAAATGACAGGAAACGCACACGACACTCCACTAGGACCTCCTCTTCCTCCTAATATAGGTTATGAAACCAAGAATAATACACGAGTAAACTTTTTTGAACAACTGTGTTAACACAAAAAGTTGTACTTTAGTAAACACACAGCTATAAAGATGTTATGGGGTTTAACAAGTGAAAGGATGTCTAATTGCCTTTTCTTTGATGACTGTTACTGTCGCATCGGCTACATTCAACATCACAGGGACCCAGTCATCTCGAATTGATGATGTTATCAAACTGTCTATTGCACCATTGAGAATGTCCATGCCTAGAAAACAAGAACATCTGACCTTGTAATTGCATGCACAATCTCAGGAAAAGGTATGTGAACCCTTTGGCTTTCAACATAAAATAGCCATAAGATTTGAACTGATCTACAACTAAGTCACAACAATGTTCACAGAAATAAACAATGATGCTTTCAGTAACACACTATGTAGGGTGGAAATGATTTCTCCAAAAACTAACTGGAGTCAGGAGTCATCTAAGCTGGAGTACAATCAATGAGACAAGGTCAGAGTCACCCTGCCCTATAAAACAACAATCACAAAGTTTGCTATTCACAAGACACTTTTGTCTGATGTAAACCATCCAACAAAAGACATCTCAGAACACCTAAGATGAAGAATTGTTGTCTTGCATAAAGCTGGAAAGGGTTACAAAAGCATGACCTGAAGAGAGGATGCACACCAGACATCTCAAAAATATCACTGAACTGAAAATGTATTGTAAGGAGGAATAGTTCCAAACGTCTGACAGTCATGCGTGGCTGATTTGTAGGAAGGTCAACAAGCTATTGAATAAGGATTTACATTCGTTTCCACCCTGCACTGTGAATGTTTCAACTGTATTTTAATAAACACATGAAAAAAAACATTGTTTGTTCAAGCAGATTGTGTTTGTCTTTTGTTAAAGATCAGATCCAATTTTATGACCAATTTATTCAGAAATCCAGTAAAAAGTGGAGAATTCAGGGAAGATAATATGTGTTAAATGTGAACAAAAGTAGAAAAGCAGCAAGTGTAGGTGAGGAAAAAAAAGAGCATTAAAAAAATAGAAGACTATGAGTGATTGCTCACCTATAGGTCTGGCAACCGGCATCATGCCAACGTATAACACCTGGAATTTCTGCACCAGTTCAGTCTTTGGTGTGGGGAACTCTGCTAAGGGTAATACACAACATACACATTAACACACACACAAACCTATTATTCAACAGAGAAGAAACACACATAAGCATACTGTGTTACCTTGTAGCGGGACGTCGAGCCCAGCATGTGTTCTGTCCTGTAGGGATCCTCCAGCCATAGCTTTGGCATTCTTGCGCTCTGCCATGATCTATTACACAGAAATCGAACTCATTAAACTCGCTGCCCTAAATCAGCAGTCTAAACAGAATGTGAACCCTATTTCTTCCTTCTCAGCTGTGCTCTATCCTTGCGCACAGACTTGAGACTAATATAATTTTTGTGTTACACTGTTTTGAATGGGTCATTGATGATAATTTTGTGTTGGATGTTGTTTGTGTAGCATTTAGTTCTCACCCTGGAGCAGATTTCGTGCAGACTCGTCGCGATGGCTTTGGCAGGGGTGTCACAGCGGAACACATGACATTTTAATATCCGGGTGTCCTTATCTCGCGCTACATATGCAAAATCCCTGTTTGCACACAATTAAAATCAAACAAGATTAAATCATATGTAAACAGCTGTTTAAAGTCAACATGAAACACATTTTACAACCCATTTCACTCATAATCTGTCATATTTCCAAAAAGGATACCGTACTAGATAAATGCAGGACGTCACTTTATTTTGTCCATAGGGAAATGATTGGACCCCAAAAATTTACATACCAGAATGGATCCAGGTCGAGATATTATATTTTTATTTATTATTTGGAAAAAATTAGACAATAAGACCAGGAATGTGCAATAATAAAAGGTAGCAAATATTTGAATTGCTTTAACAAAAAACAACAACAACCATATTACATCAATAAACAGTGCAGATGAACAGACACTTGATTATAAACAAAAAGAGCTGTGAATGTGATTTTGTGTGTATTTGTGTGTTTGTGCATGTGCCCTCAAACACCCTGATGGATGATGTGCCCTTTAGTTTTAACAGAGGCAATCAATTTAAAACAGTTACTTAAAGAAACACACCTACATTTCAAGCAAACAAAAAATGCTGTAAAATATAACCATGGATAAAATGCACACACCTCACCTACTATATGCAGGTGCACGTGGCTGTCTGATGAATGAGTATCTCTAAACTTACACCTCCAGCTGTATTACACACATTCTTTAACATTTCAGCTAAAAATAAGCTATTATGAACACAATGACCTGCAAGAGACTACAACCAGGCAATGATGAGAATACAAGTAACAAAAGGGTCTATCAATTTACCTCTCTCTGAGTCCCGGAAAGCAGTCAATTAAAAGATAAAAAAACATGATGAGAAAATACACACAATAAAGCCCATTAATGAAACACAAGGAAAACAAATGTCTGCATAAATCATTCGCAAAACCTTTTTAATAACATAAAACTGTCACACAATTCAATGCAACGTGTGTATTATGAAGGAGTGACACAGAAACATGTTCTGTTTGCATTTCATAAATGGGTTCCAATGTGTACAGATATTTCAGAACATGTGCATTACAAATAGAGCATAAAATGGCTATGGCAGGATGTGTATCCTAACTGCTGGAACTTGCTGTGAAAATTCTCATTTCAAGAAAAGATTCATTTTTAGAAGCATTGTATTTTCCAAACCCCAATATTATGTATGAAGAGAAAATAAGAGGGAAGAGATAGGAAACGAGGACCAGCTGGTGTGACGAGAATTCAGACATTTATCACAATGTATGTGACACCTCAAAACATGAGGCTCTCGTGTGCAGCCAGTAAAAAACATGAATATGTAACAGTGTTATAATTAGAGATTTAACAGACTGAGAGGGAAAGAGAATAAACCAGGTGAACTCAGTGCACTCAATAATGTCCAGAATGAACCCCAGGCTGGTAAACCTGTTCAAAATGGGCAGTTTTACAGTAAATCAGCAGGATTCAACTGAAAAATGTGCTGGAGGGTCAAGGAGAAACTACAAGGAGGTACAGGGAACAACGCAAATGGACCGAGAACAGAACCCTGAGGTTCCCCTAAGGAATTTGAAAAAAATGCATGTGTTCTAGTTTACGTAGATGTGTGGGATGGTATCAGAGGGAAGGCCTGATCTGAGGGAACACGCAAGGAAGTTGCAGTCTCTTTCAAATGTAACCCATTTAGTGACGTGAACATCTTGCCGTGACCTACTTTAGTAACTGAACACGCAGTACTCCACAATACTATCCTCACCACAGTAAATAACAACACATACAGTTCATCCATAATTCTCTAATACTGAAATCTCCTCCTCCTCATTCACACCATCTGGAGAAATTCCACCCACTCCACCTTCTAACAGTCCTAAATCATCCTTTCTCACTCCAGTAAATACTTCAACTGAAAACTACTTAACAAATGCCATACTGTAGAAAAAAAATTGGCTTACATTTATTCATGGCTACTGTAAAGTTAGGTGACCTACAGAGTAAATAATAAAAAATGCTGGACATAAAAAGAGAAAAATACTCACATCTATTAAGTAATGTGTTTTTCCTGCTATAGCATTATGCCAAACCCCTCTTCTACAGATTTTCACCTCATCGTCTCATCCTCTGCTCTGTTAAAAATGTGCAGCTCACCTCTCTACGCTCAATCTCTTTTTTTTACCCCCTTCTCATTTTCGCTCTCTCTCCTTCCATCCAATCCCAGCGTTCCCTCTACCCTCCCCCTCCCGTTTCGCTTGTCGCTACGGTAACCTCCTCCAGGGTCTTGGGGGGAAAATGTTACTGATGGGCTTAGTGGAGTATTAGCATAGGAGGACACAATGATCACATGTGAACACATACTTACACATGCAGGCTACACAATAAATTCAAAAAAGCCCAGCCTAAAGTATCATTCCTGCTGAGAGAACATATGAACAGTGCCATCTGCTGGTCAGAGTGTGGTACTGCTTACACTCAGTGAGGCAAAACTGTGATTCAGCATCCCTGATGAAGTATGCTGCATTCCACCCCTGCATCATTCACACACACTCACACACATACCAGTCAGCTCTTCAGGGACTAAAGCAGGAAAAGTAAAGCTCTTCAGTGTGTGAGAGATTAATATGAAACATTTGGATGACCTCAGAAACACTACACATACACATACGGGCAGCCCCTATAACACTAGATTAAACTTTCATTAGCACTTGTCTCTCAATCATCAATCTTTTATTACTGTCCTGCTTTCACTGGGGTGACTTCTTCAATCCAGAATCATTATATAGTGGCCTTTGGCGCGAAGAATCTGTAGGAGTGCCTCGATATCAGAATGCATTAACACAGACACATTAAGTGAATTTCTTGCAGAGTGTTACAGATAATAAGTGCATGAGGAAAGTCACAGGCGCACAGATGCTGACGTTTGCAGATCTAAAATCTCTAATTAAAATTAAATGTGAAGTAATCACAGAACACATGCTAATTGCAATATGCTACACTGAATAGTCACAATATATGTGTCATGATTTTGCTAATGATATAAAATTAGGAAATATTCTGTGAATGAGGCAAACTGTCAGTTTCAACCATTTTCTCTTACCGTCATCACTCAAAAATGTTCATGAAAGTCTCTGCTTGCCATTTTTTGCATATAATATTTTAACAAAAAATATTTAGCAAATATATATGAAATACTGCTATTAAATACTGATATTTATAACAATGCATGTTCAATTGGTGCATACACATGGAGGTTGTTACATACCATTAATCCTTCCTAATAATTATTTAATGGAGAAACAGTGAGGAAAACTGTTACTCTATTAAGTTCTTGCATTTTTGTGTATTTAACTTTTTGCATTTAACATTTTGAAAATACTTGGCAACACTGGCTGAAAAACAGTACACTTTTATAAGCCCTTTAAAATGATAAATGTTGTGATATATCAAATATTGTAAAAAGGCTGAAAATACTGAGATATAATTGCTTATTATTTGATATATAGCATTTCCCTGTAGCAAAAAAAAAGGATTGTAATGTTTAAATGTAAATCCATTCGATATCTTTTGTAGGTCAGTTCAGTTTTTGAAATGCTCTTTATCTGATTTAACTAGGCAGAAACAGCTTATTCAAAAAGATTGCAAAGCTTTGAGCTAACATTCAGTGGGTCACAGAGATTAAACATTATTAGTGTTGGTAGACCAGTCAGCCGAATAGGATCAGCAAAGTAGAAAATTAGCTCCTCGTAAATAAGACCCTGATGATGCTTGTGGGAGCTGAGAGCAGTAAAGTTTTAACTGATATAAAATCTTTTTTTGCCCTGTCTGTGCGGTTTCTAAGAGAATTTTAGAAACACCTCCCACATTTTCATAAATAAAGAGTGAGCTATTAATCATTCAGTTTTGTTCAGTTTATCTCTGTCATTTATTAAACATTTCATAAACCCTTCATCATTTAACATGTTCTCCTTAACCAACCCATAAAAATACACACTGCAATGGCAACCAGTGCTTACCTTCCATTATCGCGACCAACGCCCCACACGCGGATGCTTGCGATTGGCTGAGAGTGTAGAACGCTACGATCCATCGGGTCAACCAGATTCAGCATGTTATTCTCCAGAATGAGGTACATATCCTTCCCCTGGACACACAAGTACAATGTCGGAGGACAAGATAAGGGTTTAGTTTTAAAACCTAGTGAGCTTTCTTGCTTTCCAATGCATACATAGTCAGCTGCCTTCTAAGGCATCATATAAATAACGTTGATTAATAATGAACTTTGCTTTTTGGTATCTAATAGGGGTGTAACGGTACACATATTTGTATCGAAAATTTAGGTATGGGTCTTTCGGTTCGGCACGCATGTGTACCGCACAAATACAGTGTTGGTTTGAACACTGCATGAGCGTAACTTCATTGTAAACTTCCGGTTTTAAATATTGTTACTTTTGATAAGAAACAAAGTCTCATCTTTCAAATTATGTAAATTTTTTTTAGGAAATTAAAACAACAAACGCGGTTTTGACACTCTTTGATGTGGCCCGACAGATCGTTGTATAGAAGCCTCAGTTCAAACGGCTGGTCGGAGTGCGATCATCTCTTGAGTCTTTACTACTAGTATTAATGTGAAATAAACATGAACGAACATCTCATGCCTCATGTAATCGCTCAGTAAGTGTTTCAACCGTGGAAAGACATCAATAAAATCTGCTGTTAATTGTAACCTTATAGTAATGTAAAAGTGCTCCCTATAGTTTAGAGCAGAAGCTGAGGTAGATTTTGATCCCTAAGAAAATTTTAATTACAATTGAATTTAAAATAATTTATTTAAAATAAAGAGCAATTAGTTTGTTCAATAAACCATTGTTTAATTAACAAAGAAAACAATTTTATGTTGATCCCCCCCGCCCCCCACTGTACTGAAACCATACCGAACCGTGACATCAAAACCGAGGTACATACCGAACCGCCATGATTGTGTACCATTAAACCCCTAGTATCGAATGGTATATAAGTATACTGTAATCCATGTAATTTCATACAAACAGCACAATTCAAACAGAGCACACAAAAGCTTCATCAAGTAAATTTAAAAAGTGATTCCCTAAATACACAATAATGGGTAAAACAGAGATTTTTTACTGTTTTATTTTTTATTTATGCTTTTTTGGTTCTAAATTAAATGTATTTCATAATCCATGTAATTTCAAACAAAACGCACTATAGTTTGACTACTGGTTCGAGGCGGGTAGCATGTTGCTAGTTTTTCAAAAATACATAGGACACAGACATTTTGGGTAAAATTGCCAACTTGTTTGTCAAAATTGTCAACTTAATTGTTAAATTATAGATGATTTTCAGTATTAAAATATATTATATTATTTCTCTTCACATTTTCACAGAATTTTTCCATAAAGGATAAATGCAATGCTACCTTAGAATTTGATCAAAATAAAGGTATCTAAGAAGCCTTCTGAAACCAGTCGGAAGTGCACCTATGATGCCCTAAAATACTGCCTACACAGGCAACTCACCAGGTTTTGGAATCAATGTCACAGGCTACTATAAGGTCTAAAGATGCTTGTGCTTGTATGTGTGTTGAAAGTAATGAATAAATGATCAGACCAGAAAATAAAAGGCAGGAGGAGAACAGAGGCTTTCTTCCTGTGCCCTGTCACAACACATTAAACTCTCTTTCTTGCTCTTCCTCTTCCTCTTCTATTCACTTGCTTTTTTCTGCATGACATTTTCAGCTCTCCCTCTTCTTGTTTTATCCTTTCTGCTCTTTTATGTTTCTACCTTCCCTCTTTTCAAGATGATACAAGACATGTTTAGAAACATTGTGTATATTTTTGAATGAATATGCATATGTGCCTTGCTGAAAAGATGAATTTAGACTAGTTTAGTGCTGGTCTCGCTGGTTGACCAGCAGAACCTTGTCAATCAGCATGGGTTCTTGTAAATCTTGTTAGTTTGAGTGTGCATTTGTGTGTGTCTGTGTATGTGAGAGAGGGAGAAAGCCATATCTCACCTCTCCCCAGATGCCCACAGTGTCTCGTATGTCATTCTTGCAGTAAGACAGTTGACGAATGCAGTTGTTAACAGCGACGCTGCTTTTACCCGGGGCCAAGTCCTCTTCAGCCATCTCTACCCAGCCAAGAGAGCGCACAGCAAAACACTGTAATAAAATATCACAATCCCACTGATTAAGCACAAACACTGTGACAAATAACTACAGGGCAACTGCTACACACTTTATGCAAATGAAGAGCACAGCAAATATACGACTTAAGACATAACAATAACAGTTTTCACAAGAACAAGCCCAGTAATATAGTATCGTGTTTATCTATTACCTATATTCTATTATGCCTCATATCCAAAATCCTCCTTCTCATCTATAGTGATAGGTATTAAACTGAGGAAACACCTCTTAAAATTTTCACATGGCATCTTCTAAGAATGGCTGCTGCTAAAATGAGTGAGAAAGAGAAAGAGCGCATTCATACACATACATGATTATTTACACACACATATACACACACACACACACACACACACACACACACACACACACCCTCTCTTAGAACAGAGTGCTGAGATCAAAAGAGAAGACCCCTTTTATTGGAAGATATTTTCTTTCATCTTCCACTCGTTTCCCTCCTCCTTTCTCATCTGTATCTCACTCCCAGCACTCCAAGAGCAAAGTCATCCATCATTCAGTCTCTCTTCTTTTCTGACAATCTGTGATGAGGCACCTCCATTATGACAGTGTTTGTGTGTGAGAGAGATTAATAATAGGCAGAATGTTTTCATGCTCTTTCAGTTTGATTTTAACTGCTGCTGAAAGAACAGATCCTCAAGAGGAAGAGTGTGAAACAATCAAAGAGGGGTTAGAGAAAGAAAGAGAGAGGGGGAGAGAGAGCATGACTTAAGGGGAAGTATATATTAAATGGCAGATGAATTTTGGAATTACTGGAATTGAAAAATCCAGTAACAGTTAAAATCGAGCTATAGGGGTGACACTAGCCCATTCAGCTGGTCCACCCAATCAAATGGGACACATAAATTTACACATACATTAAGGATATATTTCCGCTGCATATCAAGTTTCAGAAATAAACAGTTATTTTAGTGTTCAAAATCTAAAATGCCTTTGATTTGATACATCAGGTGATATACATCACAGCCTAACTGCAATGTGATCTACTATAGTTTACTAATGTTTGGTGAAGCTACAAATCAAAATGCGCCCCAAAAGCCGCACATGTCTAATGTTTACCTGTACCTAATATTGTTTGGTCTCTTGGAACAATTATTTTGCATTCTGCTGGTTAAGACCTTTTCAACGATATATGTACAAGACTATAAAGATAACATTTTCAAGAAAAGTCACATGTTCAATTTAGACATATATTTTCGGTGCATATTTGTAACCCTTTTCTCTTTCCGTCTTTTAGCTGTTGCTAAAATTTGCATCCCTAGTTTTATCTCATGTATTGTAAAATGATGTACTTTAATTTGAGATTATGCACTGAGATCCACCCTACTTCACCAAGGTCCACTCACATTAAAGTCCACCGATACTGTTTAAAAGTTTGTGTCAGTACGATTTTTTTTAAAGAAATTAATAGTTTTATTCTGAAAGGGCATATTAAATTCAAAAGTGACAGTAAGACATTTAGAATGTTACCTAATTAAGTATATTTCAAAATAAATGCTGTTCTTTTAAACTTTCTATTTATCAAATAATACAAAAATTGAACATAGTTTCCTTAAAAAATATTAAGCAGCATAAATAATTTCAACACTGATTGAATAATAAGAAATGTTCTTGAGCAGGATATCAGCATATTAGACTGATTTCTGAAGGATCATGAGACACTGAAGACTGGAGTGCATTTGGATGGCGGTTTTTTACGTGGATGCCGGTGGGAGAAAAACAAAAATTCTGGATTCGGACAGCATTAAAATCACAGACTAACCCCTGTAAATGTTGAAAATTCTCTACTTCACCATGAGAAATAATTACCATCCAAACAGGGCTTTAGTCTTTTGACAAAGAGGGTCCTGTTTAGTGTTTATGTTAACATAAGGGTTCCTTATTGATCCATTAAGGATATGTCTCACTCTTAAATAAAAACATCAGAAATATTAACTACAAATTTGCTTTCCATTGTATTCTTTACCCACATCTCCAAGCATGACGTGCATGTGCATTTCTTTGAGCAGCCAGCAGATGGCAATTTATATCTAGAATTACATTGGATGTTGGAAACTCCTGACAGCACCACCAAATTCCACCAATATACAAACAGCAAAAAACAGCGTTTATTAAATAATTTGTGCCAAATCTGCTACATGTTAAAACCATACATTTATCAAGCTTTTTTTCCAGAATAAAAAGCTAACAAATCTAGGGGGACAAAATAAATGGTTTTAAAATCATTATTTACCCCTAAACAGGATGCAAAATGTAAATTTTTCCCCACAACTGAAAGTAAATGGAATGGCCTATTTTGCATTAGTATTTTATTCATGAGAATGCAAGTATCTATCGGTTTCCAGTGAGGTAAGAGGTGTTGCAGCAGTTGCAACAAACGTATTTAGTAGACGTTTGTATGTCTTACAACAGCATATGTTAAACCACATAATGTTGCAGTTCCTAAACAATCACCAGCCAAATGGTGTGCAACTCCATTATGCAGTATAGTATATATATAT